CAACTCTGACACATGCCTTTCCTGATTTTAAAACATTCAATATCCTCTATTAGAATCATTCAATATCCCCCTGTTCTACTTTAGCTACTGCTTCTTGGTCTATGTACAGGTTTCAAATGAGCACAAATATGTGTTCTGGAATCCCTGTTCTTCACAATGTTTGTTGTGATCCACACAGTTGAATGCCTTTACATAGTCACTAAAGCACAAGTAAATGTTGTTTTTATATTATCTGCTTTCTGCCAAAATCCAACTGACATCAACAATGACATTCCTTTTTCCACATCCTTAATGGAAACCACTGGTGATCATTAATGACAATTCTAAAGAGACATCAGAGTATTACTAAAGAATCAACTGTGCGAAGATCTAGGTACAAATCCTATCACCTACACTGAAGAGTATGTTCAAAACCGTAGGAAAAGAATGATCCTGATTTGTTTAAGGTCCAGAATGAAGCCCTGTAGATCAGGACCAAAGTGATCAAGGGACAGACTAATATAAGACAAAGTCCTGGGGTTCTTGTTGTTGTTGTTGTTAGGTGCCATCGAGTTGGTACTGACCCATAGCGACCTTATGCACAGCAGAATGAAACACTGCCTGAACCTGGGCCAACGTCACTACTGTTGCCACGCTTGAGTCCATCAATGCTGCCACGTAGCCAATCCATCTGGTTGGAGGTCTTCCTCTTTTTCTCTGACCCTCCACCTTACAACACATGATATCCTTCTCCACCGACTGGTCCCTCCTGACAATATGTCCAAAGTATGAGAGACGAAGTTTGGCCATCTTGGCCTCTAAGGAGCCCTCTGGCTGCACTTCTTCCAAAACAGATCTGTTGGATCTTTTGGGAACCCATGGTACTTTCAGTATTCTCCTCTAACACCGTAACTCAAAGGCATCAATTCTTCTACGATCTTCCTATTCACTATCGAACTTTCACATGCTTGTGAGGTTATTGAAAACACCATGGCTTGAGTCAGGCGCACATTAGTCCTCAAGCTGACATCTTTGCTCTTCAACACTTTAAAAAGGTCTTGTGCAGCAGATTTGCCTAATGCAATACGTCGTCTGATCTCTTGACTGCTGCTTCCGTGAGTGTTGATAGTTGATCCAAGAAGAATGCAGTCCTTGACAACTTCAGTCTTTTTTCCATTGAAAAGAATGTTGTTTATTGGTCCAGTGGTGAGGATTTTTGTTTTCTTTACATTGAGATGTAATCCATACCGAAGGCTGTGCTCTTTGATCTTCATTAGTAAATGTTTTAAGTCCTCTTCACTTTCGGCAAACAAGGCTGTATCATCTGCGTATTGCAGGTTGTTAATCAGCCTTCCTCCAATCCTGATCCCACATTTTTCTTCATAGAACCCAGTTTCTTGTATTATTTGCTCAGCATTAAGGTTGAATAAGTATGGTGAAAGAATACAACCTTGTCACACACCTTTCTTAATTTTAAACCATTCAGTGTTCCCATGTTCTGTTCAAACAACTGCCTCTTGGTCCAAGTACAGATTCCTCATGAGCACAATTAAGTGTTCCAGAATACTCATACTTCTCAGTGTTGTCCATAACTTGTCATGATCCACACATCGGAAGCCTTTGCATAGTCAATAAAGCACAGGTAAACATCTTTCTGATATTCTCTGCTTTCAGCCAAGATCCATCGGACATCAGCAATGATATTCCTTGTTCACGGCCTCTTCTGAATCAGGCTTGCACCTCTGGAAGTTCTCTGTCAATGTATGATTGTAGCCGTTTCTGTGGTACCTTTAGCAAAACTTTACTCGCTTGAGATATTAAAGAGATTGTCCGATGATTTCTGCATTCCGTTGGGTCACCTCTCTTTGGAATGGGCACAATCAGTCGGCCAGATAGTTGTCGTCCAAATTTCTTGACAGAGATGAGTGAGTGTCTCCTGTGCCACCTGACTTTCTTGCAAGATTTCAGTTTTTATTCCAGCAATTCCTGGTGCCTTGTTCTTTGCCAATTCCTTCAATGCACCTTGGCCTTCCTCCCTCAATATCATTGGCTCTTGATCATATGCTAGCTCTTGAAACGGTTGAACATTAACCATTTCCTTTGGTATGGTGACTGTGTATTCCTTCCATCTTCTCTTGATGCTTTATGCATCATTCAATAACTTGCCCAGAGAATCTTTCAATAACAAAAGTCGAGGCTTGAATTTTTTCTTCAGTTCCCCCAGCTTGAGAAATGCTGAGCGTGTTCTTCCTTTTTGGTTTCCTGATTCCAGATCTTTGCAAATTTATTGTAATATTTGGCTTTATCTTCTCTAGCTGACCTTTGAAATTTTCTGTTCAGCTCTTGGACCTCCTCATTTCTTCCATTTGCTTTAGCATCTCTATGCTGGAGAGCAAGTTTCCCTGTCTCTTCTGACATCCATTTTGATCTTTTCCTTCTTTCTTGTCTTCTCAATGACTTTTTGCTTTCTTCATGTATGATGTTCTTGATGTCATCCCACAACTCTTCTGGCTTTTGTCTTTAGTGTTTAATGTATCAAATCTGTTCTTCAGATGATCTCTAAATTCAGGTGGGATATATTCAAGGTCATATTTTGGCTCTCATGGATTTGTTTTCATTTTCTTCTGCTTCAGTTTGAATTTGTATATGAGTAATTGATGGTCTGTTCCACAGTCTGCCCCTGGCTTTGTTTTCACTGATGATATGGAGCTTTTCCGTCATCTCTTTCCACAGATGTAGTCAGTTTGATTTCTATGTATTCCATTTGCTCAGGTCCGTGTGTATAGTCATCTCTTGTGCTGTCTAAAGAAAGTATTTAAAATGAACAAATCATTGGTTTTGCAGAATTCTGTCAAGTGTTCTCCAGCATCATTTCTATCACCAAGGCCATATTTTCCAACTACTGAAGTCATGGGGTAGATAGGAATAAAGTTAAGCTTAGTAAAGTGTTTGGTGGCTGATATGTATGTACTCCATTGGTAGCAGTGAAAGATGAATAGTATTGACTCACACTGAAACTCAGTTGTCAGACTTATGTTTACAAATGTAAATAGAATTTTCAAATTATTAGTCACAAAAATAATTTACTGACTTTAAACAAATAAGTGTTCGTAATCTGGAGGTTTGTAAAACCAGCCTGTCAAGGAACTGCTACAGATCACTGACTGAGCTAATTTAGGGTAATACTCAGTCAAGTGATCCCTGGCAATTCTTTGACATAATGAAGGGCATTTAATAGCATTGCAATCTCAAAAGAAAGACCAACTATTACATGAGCAGTAGCTGGAAAAATTATGACCAGGTACGTCTGATAACTTCAGGGGATTTAAAGAATACTTGCCACTTTAAAATAACTATCTCCAAAGGTATCATGTTGTAAAGACCTTACATAGTTTTGTTTCAGATAGTGCTCCCTTTTATAAAAATGCATTTCTTACGGTAAACAGTGTATATTTGTACTACTGTAGCTAGGTGCATAAAGTTTGAATAGAAAGGAATCTGCTTCTGTAATTACTGGAGAAATGGATGTAGTAGGCAGGGCTATATGCTTGAAACATACATGAAGGTGTCATAATTACATTTTCAATTATGAATCACTTTACAGTTTGCAAAGCCTTTTCTTGAATAAACCCAGTTTGCTCTTTGAAAACTGGTTCAGGTAAATAACCAGTTGCCATTGAGTTGGTTTCTGACTCCTGGAGACCCCCTGAGTTTCAGAGTAGAATTGTGCTCCGCAGGGGTCTTCAGTGGCTGATTGTTTTAGAAGTACATCTTTAGGCATTTCTTCCAAGGGGCCTCTGGGTCGATTCAAACCTCCAACCTTCAGGTTAGCAGCTAAGTGTGGTAGATAAGAAACAGGAATTTTATGGAGCTCAGCATAATTACTTTAAAGATGAAGAAACCAAGGCTCTCCCACATCCCGGCTTAGACTTCATTTGCATTGTTTCTCCTATCACAGCTTACTAATTCAATGGTGAACAAAAGAACTTCAGTGGTAGATATATAGTATGTAGTCTTACTAAAACAATATCAAAACACCATGCAGTAGTGACTAATAAGAATAGTTTGTTGTTGTTAAGTGATACATAGTTAACATATAACGAGCAATTCTGTGCCAGGTGCTATAGTAAGGGATGTGTAAAAATTAGCATCTTTAACTGTAACTCTGTTAAGTTAGAGTACTGTGTGATAATTCTGGTTTTTTTCTCTCTTTCTATTCAAATATTTACTATAAGTAAAGAAGCCACAATGGTGAGTGTACTAACCTAAGAGGAAAAGCGGAAGATACATAACATGAATAGTGGTGGTGGTGGTGGCTGAGTGCCATCGAGTTGCTTCCAACTCATAGTGACCCTATAGTTTCTGAGGCTGTAAATCTTTACAGGAGCAGAAAGCCTCATCTTTCTCCCACAAAGCAACTGGTAGATTCAAACTGCTGACCTTGAAAGGGTAATAATCTGATTGTCTGTTGTATGGTTACAGTGACTATGTATAATAATCATGAGTAGTTTTACATATACTTCACATGTATACTAGAGAATGACCCACTAATAAAGAGGTGTTTGTATAATTTAAATCTATTTATTTAGGAAGGAGGAATATCTATTTCCTCAGAATAAGTATTTTTCTTATGGATGACTGAAAATGTAGGAATAGTAGTAATGTTTTATATTTATATGGCATCTTTTATCTGAGAATCTCCAAGTGTTTATCATATAATATTCCATGAATCCTCACCATTCTCTGGTGAGGTAAGTAGGTGGCAAGTTAGTATCTTCATTTTACAAATGGTAGAGAAATTAAGCCACAGAGAGGAGTAAATGCTTTGTATAGTCACACAGACTAAACAGAGTGGTAACCTGAGCTATATTTTAGAGAAATTGCATTCATTTCTTTTGCATTGATGCTTTACACATGTCTTTTAGGACAAATATGTTAACTTTAAAATGTCCACATGGGCTTTTTGATCCTTTCTGAGGACTAGAATACATTATATGATACTCTTTTTCCTCCTCTTTCAGGTCAGCAGCAAGGACAGGATGGAGTAAAAGTCCAACAAGCTACTATAGCTCCCGTAACCGTAGCAGTTGGAGGAATTGCTAATGCAACGATAGGTGCTGTTAGTCCTGACCAACTCACTCAAGTGCATTTGCAGCAGGGCCAGCAAACTTCTGATCCAGAGGTGCAGCCTGGCAAGAGGCTTCGAAGAGTTGCATGTTCCTGTCCTAATTGTAGGGAAGGAGAAGGAAGGTAAATGCACTGGTATCAACTCTGTCTCTCTGGAAGGTGGAGGAATAAAAGAGTAGTTAAAACCAAGTTGCTTGCTAGGTATTTTGATCTCTAGGAACTCACTGGCATTATTGCTCAGAAGTTGAGTTAGACTGTAAACTACATTTGTTTTGTAATGACGATTATTCCAGGAGTGGAATTTGAGTAGTCCTCTGCCTTCTACTTTACAGGTTTCTTCTTACAGTTTTCTTTGAAAATATATTCTGTAAAATTTTTAAACAATTTTAGTGAAATATATTATATACCCTAATTAATCCATTTAAATTTAAAGTTCAAAGGGAATGGTCCATTACCACAATCAATTCTAGTACATTTTTATCATCACTAAAAAAAATCCAATACCCTTTAGTTACTGGCTTCCCAATCTTCATCCTCCCCCAACCCTACGAAATGACTAGGCTATTTTCTGTCCCTATAGATTTTCTTATTCTGAAATTTTATTCTACATGGAATCATATAATATGTAGTCTTTTATGTTGATTTCTTTCATTTAACATATTTTTTAAAGGGTTTATCTATGTTTTAGCATGTATCAGAATTTCAATTCTTTTAATGGTAAAGGAGCTCTGGTAGCGTAGTGGTTACAAATCGGGCTGCGAACCTTAAGGTCAGCGGTTCGAAACTACCAGCCGCTCCACGGGAGAAAGATGAGGCTTTCTACTCCTGTAAAGATTTACACCCTCAGAAATCCTGTACAGGGTCGCTATGGGTCGGAACCGACTCGACGGCACTTAACAGCAACAACAAATGGCCAAATAGCATTCCATTGCGTAGCTACCTCAAACTTAAATCCATTCTTCACTTGATGGACATTTGAGTTCTTTTCATCTTTTGCTGTTATGAATAATAATGTAACAATTGCATGGTCCTATGTTTTCAGTTCTCAGTGAGAGATATCAAGGAATGGATCATACAGTAACTCTATGTTTAGCTGCTTCAGTAATTGCCAAACTGTTTTTCAAAGTGACTGCAATGTTTCATATTTTCGCCAGCAGTACATTGTTGTTAAGTGCCTTTGAGTTGGTTCCGACCCATAGCGACCTTGTACAGGGTTTCTGAGGGTGTAAATCTTTACGGGAGTAGAAAGCCTCATCTTTCTCCCACGGATTGGCTGGTAATTTTGAACCGCTGACCTTAAAGTTCACAGCCCAGTTCATAACCACTACGCTACCAGAGCAGTACATAAGGGTTCTAATTTTCCACATTGTCACCAACATTTATTAGCTGATTTTTGCTTAGAACCATCTTAGTGTGTGAGAAGTATCGCTTTGTATTTTTCATTTGCATTTTTCTGGTGACAGATGATAATAAGTATTTTATGTTTTTTGGCCATGTGTAAATCTTTGTGGATGGCTTGGTATATTTTACTAATATATTTTTTAATTGCTTTTCATTGTGGTATAAATGTATATAACAAAATCATTTGCCAACTCACCACTTTTTTACATGTACAGTTCAATGACACTGATTATATACATCCTGCTGTGCAACCATTATCACTCGCTTTCCAAATTGTTCCATTACTATTAATAGAAATGTATGACCCTTAAGCAAACACTCCCTCTTTTCCCCACTTGTACCCCTACTAACAGCGAATAAGCCTTCTTAGTCTCTAAATTAGCATGTTTCATGTAAAAGGTATCATACAATATTTGTCATTTTGTGACTGATTTATTTCACTCGGCATTCTTTCAAGGTTAATCCATGGTATAGTATGCATCACAATTTCATTTCTCTTTATGGATGAGTAATACTCCATTGTATGTATGGACCGTATTTTTTCATCCATTTATCTGTTGATGGAACATTGGTTAAGATCAAGTATTAGTTGAAACGGTTCTTCATATATTCTAAAACAAATCCCTCTACAGGTTTGCACATATTTTCTTGTCTTTTCACATTCTTGATAATTTCATTTTGAAGCACGAAAGTTTTTAGTTTGGGTGAAGTCCAGTTTGTTCTGTTTTTTGCTTTTGTTCGTGCTTTTGGTGTCATATTTTGAATTCTATGCCAAATCACAGGTCATAATGATTTCCTGATTTGTTTTGAGATTTTAAAGTTTTTGCTCATGCATTTAGATCTTTGACTCATCTTTCTCCCAAGGAGCCACTGGTAATTTCGAACTGCTGACCTTGCGGCTCACAGTCCGGTTCGTAACTATGCTACCAGAGCTCCTACTCATCTGGAAATAAAAGATAAAGAAGTAACCCAAAGATACAGGGAAGAAAATAGTCAACAAAGCAGTTGACAAGAACCATGACCTCTTCTACCCTGAGCCCAGAATAAGATAGTATGTGGCTATCACCACTAACCATTTTGATCAGGTTTTACTATAAGATGGGTTTTTATAGAATGCGATAAAAATGAGAAGCAGGCCAGACTTACTGGACTTGAGGACTACCCGAAACTGTTGCCCATCAACATATCAAACTTTGAACCCGAACTATTCCTTGGTATCACCTGTTAGCTCAGTAACAGACTAGATCACAAAATAAACAATGGCACCTATGAATAATGAGCTTCTTTAAAAAAATCAACTATAGGACCCCAAATGGTAAACATTTATTCTAGGGCGAAGATGAAATTGAGGGGCAGGAAGAGTTGATATGGGAAGTGGTCCAAGCAGAGTGAGGTGAGTGGGAATGATGGCACACTGTGCTGGGGGAACTAGTGTCCCTGGGTAGTCTGTGCAGACTCTCACCAAAACACTAAAATAGTGACAGAAAAAAATTACATTAGATTTAGCAAAGACTGAAAAGTAACCATTATAAACGTGTTTTCAAAAATTAAAACCCACATGCTGTTTTTGCATGGTTTCTAGTTTTTCACTGGTGATCTACTCTGTAAACCTTCACCTAAGCCACAATTTAATATATACACACAAGACAATCCATTGTCATGAAATCGATCCTGAATAATAGCACCCCTAAAGAGTGAAACTGTCCCAGAGGGTTTCTAAGATAATAACCTTTACGGAAGCTGACTGCTACACCTTTCTTCCTCAGAGCAGCTGGCTGGTGAATTTGAACTGTAAACCTTTTGGTTACCACCTGAATGCTGTAACCACTGTGTCAAAATATTAAACTAAAGGAAACCATCATTTTAAAAACAATGCAAAGTATGATAATAATGGTGAGAATATCAGTGTTAGGTCCATTCTGACTCATAACCCTATATAGAGTGTCCAGGGAGTGCTGGTGGGTTTGAACAACTGACCTTTTGGTTAGTAGTCCAGTATTTCCTTCAGTGCCACACTGGCCTCTAAAATATCAATAAAGATAATGAAAATGGTATTTTTTAAAAATGAAAATTCTAGAGGTGAAAAGCACAGTAATTGAATGAAAAATTCATTAGAGGAACTCAATATTAGAATGAATTGTGAAAAGATTGAAAGATTATGCAATCTAAAAACAGGAGAAAGAATGAATAAAAATGGAAAGAGCATCAGAGAAATATGGGACTGGATTAAGCACACCAATTTACGCAGAATGAGAGTATGGGAAAGAAGGAAGGAGCAGAAAAAATATTTGAAGAGATAAAGACAAATTCAGTCACAGATTTTTTTTTTTTATATATAACAATCTACAAAATGCTGGATGCTCAATAAACTCCAAAATGTAAAGAAACTTACATTTAAACACATCACTTAAAGTCTTAAACATCAGAAATCAGGTAAAAATGTTGAAAGCAGCAAGGTAAAATGGCTCAGTAATTACAAGTACGCCCCATCAAGATTAAGGAGCTCTGGTAGCATAGTGATCAGGCTGCTAACCTCAGGGACAGCAGTTTGAAACCACCAGCTGTTCCGCGGGAGAAAGATGAGGGTTTCTGCTCCTGTAAAGACTTATAGCCTTGGAAACCTTGTACAGGGTCAAGAACACTATGAGTCAGAACCAACTCCACGGCACATAAGCAACCAACCAGCCAACCCCACTAACATTAACAGGTGGCTTAACATTAGTAATAATGGAGCTCTAGATGCAGTGGTTATCAATGGAGAAAGGATTGAAGTTGTCAAGGACTTCATTCTTCTTGGATCAACTATCAACACTCGCGGAAGTAGCAGTCAAGAGATCAGACGACGTATTGCACTGGGCAAATCTGCTGCACAGGAACTTTTTAAAGTATTGAAGAGCAGAGATGTCAGCTTGAGGACTAGGGTGCGCCTGACCCAGGCCATTGTGTTTTCAATAGCCTCATATGGATGCGAAAGCTGGACAGTGAATAAAGAGGATCGTAGAAGAATTGATGCCTTTGAGTTGTGGTGTTGGAGGAGAATACTGAGGGTGCCATGGACTGCCAAAAGAACCAATAGATCTGTTTTGGAAGAAGTGCAGCCAGAGTGCTCCTTGGAGGCCAGGATGGCTAAGCTTCGTCTCTCCTACTTTGGACATGTAGTCCGGAGGAAACAATCGTTGGAGAAGGATATCATGCTGGGTAGGGTGGAGGGTCAGAGAAAAAGAGGAAGACCTCCAACGAGATGGATCGGCCAGGTGGCATCATTGATGGACTCGGGGGTGGCAGCGGTAGTGAGGTTGGCCCAGGATCGAACATTGTTTCGTTCTACTGTGCATGGAGTCGCTATGAGTCGGTTCCGACTCGATGGCACCTGACAACAACAACAACAAGATGCAGTGGTATAATACATTCATAGTGTTTAACAATATTCGTAAGTTAGCTTCAAAGAAAAAGATTTGCCAACCAAGAATTCTTTATCCAGCAAAGCTATCGTTAAAAATTAAGGACAAAATAAAGATATCCAGATAAATTAAAGCTTAGAATTATTGGTAGTAGTATGAAGGTATATTTTCTTTGTTTTCTGAACTGATTTTAAAAAGCAATCATATATATCAGTGTGGATTAAGGAGTCCTTTCTGAAGTCAGTGTTTGAGGTTTTTTTCTGATTCTAGGCTTGGCTCTTCACAGCTTTGTCTTTCCCTGGGTTTCTCTGGCAACAGTTTAGCTTTTCTCTTCAGTGAATTTGTCAGTCTATCAAGCCCACTTCAGTTTCCTTTTACCACAATATCCATTGCTTTGTAAAGAACCTTCAGGCTTGCATTTTCCCATGTTGTTGTTGTTAAGTGCCCTTGAGTTGGTTCCGAATCATAGCAACCTTGTATAGGGTTTCTGAGGAGTGGCTGGTGAGCTTGAAACACCAACCTTGCAGTTCAAACTGACCTTGCAGTCCAGTACAGTAACCCGCAGTGCATACTTCAGTGCAAATGAAGTTGGTTCTTTTGGGAAAAGATTTGGACCTCTTTATTTTATTGCCTCCTTTTCCCCCTAGGCAAAATTTCAGCCTTGGTTTTGGAGCTGGAGATTGGGACAATGAAGCATTTATCTGAGTGACCCCCAGTTTTAGGAGTTAAACTCTTGGTGGAAGGGACAGGTAGATACTTCAGGTACTCTTGGCTTGCTCTCCTGTTTACAAACTACTGGTGTGGCACTATTGGATAAGTACTGGGCCACAAGGTCAACTTGAGCTTCAGTGCTGGTGGTTCAAACCAACATTTGCTCCTCAGAAACCTTATACGGTTACTATGTGTTGGAACCGACACAACAGTACCTAACAACAACAACAACAACAACAGTAAGCAGTTATACTGCTGAATAATAAGCCCTGGCCAGCTAACTGCTAAGTCAGCAGTTCAAACCCATCGTCTGCTCTTCAGAAACGCTGTACAGGGTCACTGAATTGGAACTGACTCAATAAGAAGGAAGGGAACCCAGTGGTTAAGTATTGGACTACTATTTGAAGGGTCAGCAGTTCAAACTCACCAGCTGCTGGACGAGAGAAAAGACCTGGTGACCTGCCTAGGAAACCTTATGGGACAGTCCTGCTCTGTCCTTTAGGGTCACTGTATGAGTCTGAATTGCCTAGACAGCACACAACAACAGTGAACCCCCAAGTGAGGGTGATCTAGGATCTGGTATCGTAGTATAGTGGTTATAAGTCGGTCTGCTAACCTCAAGATCAGCAGTTTGAAACGACCAGGAGAAAGATGAGGCTTTCTGCTCCTGTAAACAGCCTCGGAACCCTAAGCAGAGTCGTTATGAGCCAGAACCAACTCCACAGCACACTACCACCACCATCCTAGACAAACCATGTCCGATGTCCCACAAGTGGGAGCTGGATAGAAGAAGGGAATTCTTGGCCTCATTGCCCCAGAACTTTTCCTTTGCTCCACGTAGCTAGGACTAAGATGAGGAAAGGCTGACCTTCTGCTCCTCTTAGAAAGATAGCTCTCTGCCTGGGAGCTTGAAGAAGGGGAGTCATGTTTTTTGATGGCATCAGTCAGAAGTGCAGTTTGTATCTCAGGAAGCCGGAACGAGGGAGTTGGTCTTGAATCAGATATCATAGACTTGCTGTTGAAACTAAATTTTATTATTTTGTTTGTTTGTTTGTTTGTTTGTTTGTCTTCCATTGCCATATGCATGTAAGACCACTTTCAGAGACTTAAAGTGTTTTTTTCCCCCACCACTTTTTCTGCATAGCAGAATCTCTCAAATTCGCATGCCAGAAATGAAACCTTATATGTTGCACTTTTAATTGGGGATT